CCAAACCCACAACCTTGGTGAATCCAGATGATGCTCTAACCAACTGAGCTACCCGGCCAGAGTCGCCAAGAGTGGTTTATTAACCGGGAGGGACTATTTCCAGTGGTCTGGAAAGTGCAGAGACTAGCAGAGTCTAGCAGGATTTGTAAGATCATTGGTCCCGTGGTTTCTAAGGCATAATCCTCAGCCCTGGGTCCTGTTGGCCAGGGAATAGTGGGGAGACCACCTCACTCCAAACCGAGTAGCTGTTTTCATGCCCTCTACGCATTATACACATTAGGTTTCCTACAGCTTAAAAGAAAAAAAAAGTCTGCAAACTACTGATAGAACCCAACTGCCCAGGTGATTTCTGAACACCTTCTAGAGACAGATTAATAACACATTCAGATAAACACATTGTTCTGTGTGGTTCCTGACATTTTTGTGATCCTCATCCTATATAATAAAAGGCTAATATGCAAATCAACCGGTCAGCAGAATGGCTGGTCATTATGGCACATACTGACCACCAGGGGGCAGATGCTCAATGCAGGAGCTGCCTGTTGGTGGTCAGTACGCTCGCACAGGGGGAGCTCCCTCCACTCAGGCAGAAGCCGTGGCAAGCATAGCAGCAGTGGCGGGAGCCTAAGGATGTCCTACTGATGGCTACATCCCTCGAGGGCTCCTGACTGGGAGAGGGCACAGGCCGGGCTGAGGAACCCTTCCCCCCCTCCTCCCGTGCACAAATCTTGTGTACTGGGCCTCTAGAGTAACTATAATAAAGTGTGGTTAGGTGTCTGTGATTAGAGAACAGTGTGCACGGAAGACCCAATGTTGTGTTTGAAACATATTGTATCCCTCCAGGAGTGGGTACATGTTAGCGTGGGTAATGCACGCTTCATTGGCGATGAAAGCCGATGGCGGTAGAATCACTGAAAGTGTTCGTGAAGTGACGTGGTTATTTTAGGTTTGACTGTTGGAACAGCAGGTGGCGCTAGTGGGAAGACCTCTGTTTCTAGGCCATTTAAAGAGCAGCAAGATGCACAAAACTTACCTTCATGTGTTTGCACTTCAGAGCTGCAGGCAGGAGCGGCAGACCGTTCTGCATTGGCTTTGAAAGGGATCGCGGTGCTAAGGTGTGCGAGCCACGCCGAATGCAGTGTGAGAGCAAGCCCGTTAGAGAAGGGGCTTGCACTTCTATGTGGGTTGCCATGGAAGTTTAAAACAAGTTAAGGGCATGTGGGGTATCTGCCTATTATTTTGTTTACTCATTCAGCACACATTAATGCACGCCTGCCTGTATGCGAGGTATGGGGATAAGCACTGGGGATAAGATTTTAGACAATAACCAGTGCTTTCCCTCAGCATGTCTCAGGCAAACGTGTGGCCAAATAATTACCATAGGATGTAACAGAGTCTATGCATTTAAAAAAAAAAAAATTTCCTCTTGTGATGAGAACTTTGTTTAAAAAATATTTTTAAAATTGATTTTAGAGAGGAAGGGAGAGGGAGAGACAGATAGAAACATCATTGATTGGCTGTTTCCTGCATGCTCCCCACTAGGGATTGAACCCATGACCCTTGAGTCTGCAGGCCAACGCTCTATCCACTTAGCTAAACCTGCCTGGGTATGACTGTGTTCTTGTTGAGAGAGACAGTCTTGAGTGAGAGAGAATATCAGTGGGAAAGAGAAATACCAGGGTTGCCCCGACTGGGGATTGAACTCTCAACCTGGGAATGTGCCCTGACTGGGAATCTAACCCGCCACCTTTTGGTGTATGGGGTGATTCTCCAACCTACTGAGCCACCTGACCAGGGCTGGTTCTGTCCTTGTTATAAATACAGGGCTGTTGGGTCACAGAGGGGGGGACTCAGTTGAAGGAAATCAGGGTAGTCTTCGAAGAGGAGGTCAGGCCCTCGTTGCGTCTGGAGGGAGATGTATCGATAAACATTCACTAGGAGAAAAGCAGAACACGCATCCCAGGCGGTGCGTCCAACATGCGCACAGGTATGGAGCTGTGTGTGAAAGAGCTGACGGTCTTGGGGAAACGTCGGGAAATTTGCTAGGGAGGTTAGCAAGGTAGACTGAGGCCAGATTGTGAAGGGACTCCTAAAATAATGCCATGGTCAGTGAGCACATTAGTCAAGAATTCCAGCTAGTCTGGACGCTATTTAATTGATTAGCTTTTGGCGTTTGTGAAATGAGTTAAGGATCATGGCATGATGACTTCAGTTTTAAATATGTTCTCTGCTCACAAGGGTGCATGGGTGAGAAGGAAGCTGTATCCAGACATACATGGGGGAAATGCTACATGTGCTAATTCCATGCAATGCATAGGTATTGAGCACTCTGGTGTGTGCTGGGAGACAGGCCTTCTTGCCTAGAGCTGTGGATGGCAAACTGTGGCTCGTGAGCCACATGTGGCTCTTTGGCCCCTTAAGTGTGGCTCTTCCACAAAATACCATGGCCTGGGTGAGTCTGTTTTGAAGAAGTGGCATTTGAAGAAGTTTAAGTTTAAAAAATGTGGCTCTCAAGAGAAATTTCAATTGTTGTGCTGTTGATATTTGGCTCTGCGGACTGATGAGTTTGCCGACCACGGGGCTAGAGCATATGTCTTTTGCTCTTAGTTGTCTCCAACACATCAAACACTTAGATCCAGATCACAAGTCTCATCCCAACCCAAATCCTGCTCTTTCCCAAGTCTTTCTCAGCCCTTCAAAGGACTCTTCTTGACATCTCTCTCTTTCTCACCTGCCTCATCTAACCCTTCCTCTGTCGTGAAACAGGTCCGAATACCTTTCTCTCCTCCATCCCTCCTGCCAACATCCTAGCAACCATGTTTCTTGCCACAGACTCCCAATGGGTCTCCCTTTTTATCGCTCACTTTCTTTTTGAGGCAAAAGCCAGGAAGATCTTTACAACATCTAAATCAGATCATGCCACTTCCCAGTTCAAACCTTTTATTCCTTATTGACTTCCTATTGCAACCTAAATGAAAACCAAACGACTTCCTGTGGTCCACAAGGGCCTGCCCACCTCACCAGCCCCATCCTGTCTTGCTCTCTCACTCACTGCATCCCAGCCACAATAGCCTTTTCCCATTTCCCCACTTCTCCCGCCCTGGCCTTGGCGCCTGCTATTTCTGCTGCCTGGAATGCTCTTCTTCCCATCCTTCAGCCGCCTGGTAGTTTATCATTTAGGCTTACATATTACCTGCTCTGAGAGATCTCTCCTTCCCGAGTCCACTCGGTAGGAGGGTTCCTGGGACTCTCTGACCACCTCCCTTTTCCCCTCATTGCATGTGCCACAGCTTATAATTATGTGTACGTTTGCAGCTAAACCCGTATAAGTCATTGTGCTCCCCACCAGCCCAGGTCCTCCCTTGGGACTGGAATCCGGGTGTTCTCTTCTCCCCTCTCTGTCCAGAGCTGGACACAGTTCCCGGCACACAGTGAACCCTAGAGAGTTGTAGAAGCATCGTTCCAATGCATAAAGACAGACAGGCTTTTCTAGTTTCTAAATCTCTTAACTACAAACAAGAAAAATGTGGAAAATTAAGAAGACAATTTTTGCCAAAACCGGTTTAAAAATGTGGAAAATTAAGAAAACGATTTTCGCCAAAACCGGTTTGGCTCAGTGGATAGAGCGTCGGCCTGCAGACTGAAAGGTTCCAGGTTCGATTCCAGTCAAGGGCATGTGCATTGGTTGTGGGCACAACCCCAGTGGGGGGTGTGCAAGAGGTAGCTGATTCTCTCTCATTGATGTTTCTAACTCTCTATGCCTCACTTTCTCTCTGTAAAAAATCAATAAAATATATTTAACAAAGAAAAGAAAACGATTTTCTACGTTCCCTCCCACCCTTGGAACTATTGGAGGAAAGGTATCCAGCTCTGTGTGACCTCACCGAAAGGAAGAGGGTGCAGGTTTTTAGAAATCAGCACATGGTTTTTGTGTGATTTGGGGTTATTTTTAAGACAGTGATATTTTATTTAAAAATAGAAATCCTGAGGTATAGAAATGAACTGCTCTCTCTCTCTCTCTCTTTTTTTTTTTTTATATGCAGGGCTCAGGACACTAAGATGTTTTAACTTCTTGGCTCGGTTCTTTAAACCTATTACAAAGATCACATTAGAATTCATTTTCACAGACTCTGTGAGCACAGTACCCAATCTCATACCATCCTGCTGGGCTCTTTTATTATGAGAGTCACGGGAAGCCGAGCCCGAGGCTGCAGAGCCGTCCCCGGGAGGACCTAAGGCTGGGGACCATGCCAGCTCCATTGTTTATGGAATATTCTCTCCGCTTTTATCTGTGGGGTGCAATTGGTATTGACTTTTGAGAAACTACTTCTTTGCCCCGATCTCGCAGTGGGAAGAAAAAAACCCGCGGTAATGACATCTGGCTAGGAAAAAAGGCATCAAAGCCGCCGAAGGAAAGAAAAATCATGAGACCTTGTTTGATACATAGTTTGGGCCCATCTGTGAGATCTGTTAAAGGGACGTGTGTTACATTTTTGCAAGGTCACCATTCTTTTATCCCTAGGAAATGCCCAGTGAAGGAAAACTGTCTATTGTTTTTTTTTTTGCTATTGACTGCTGGTGTTGGGCCTCCTTACCATTTAGCAAAATGTCTTTTTTTTAAAAAAAAAAATATATATTTTATTGATTTTTTACAGAGAGGAAGGGAGAGAGATAGAGAGCTAGAAACGTCGATGAGAGAGTAACATCGACCAGCTGCCTCTTGCACACCCCCTATTGGGGATGTGCCCGCAACCAAGGTACATGCCCTTGACAGGAATCGAACCTAGGACCTTTCACTACGCAGACGGACGCTGTACCACTGAGCCAAACCGGTTTCAGCCAAAATGTCTTTTTGATTTTATAGGTCTTTAGGGATAAATACTGTTCACCAAAATCAAGATAAAATTTGTGACATGTATTACCTTTTACTTAGGTTTGTGTGTTTTTTCTGGAAGAGTAAGGCAGTCATTTTTGATAAAAATTTCCCCCCCTACTTTTAGGTCTAACACTCGAGGAGTTTTTAAACATTATAAGGAAGAAGAAGGAAGCTCAGCTGTACCGGAATGAAATAAGACACATCTTCACAGCTTTTGACAGGCACTGTAAGTCTCTTCAGAGTGTTTTGAAAGTAAAAATTGCTGTTAAAGAACTGTGAATGGGCACATATACTCAGTACGTGAAATTAATATACTAGGAAGTTTCTTTTACTGTCCTCATTAGCTATTACTTTAGATGTTGGTGTGAGTTTTTTTTTTTCCACCGTGATTTTAATTTCTTGACATTTACCATGGATAAAATAAAGTTAACAGTTATATAATTGTACTTAGTGGTTATAATCCGGGCAACAAAAGGGCTGGCCATGTGGGGTTAGAAGTCACCTACACATGGCATCTTCTTCGGCTCTTGCTGTGACCCATGTTTTACTGGAGGAATGGTTTTCCCACACCGGGTGTGGCCGAGAGGAGTGGCTTCAGGTCCCCCTACACTCCATACCTCTCACACAGGATGAAAATACTCATGTAGTCCAGGTTCCGTATTTTGGCTGTCGTTATGGCTTCCCTCTCAATATGATCTATACTAATAAAAGGGTAATATGCTAATTAGACCAGGAGACCTTCTGGATGTCCTTCCGGACAAAGCCATAGAGGTGGGGCCAAGGCAGAAGCGGATAGGGGCAATCAGGCCAGGAGGGGAGGCAGTTGGGGGTGATCAGGCTGGTGGGAGGGCCAGTTGGGGATGATCAGGCCGGCCGGTGGGGGGGGGGGGGTTGGGGGCGAGCAGGTTGGCAGTGGAGGGAAGTTGGGGGTGATCAGGCCGGTAGGTCGAGTGGCTAGGGGCAATCAGGCAGGCAGGCAGGGGAGTGGTTAGGAGGCAGCAGTTCCGGATTGCGAGAGGGATGTCTGACTACACAGGGGGTCCCAAATTGGAGAGAATGCAGGCTGGGCTGAGGGACACCTCCTGCTCCCCCATGCATGAATTTCGTGCACCAGGCTACTAGTTATATTATCATTCTAATATCAAGCAAGAAAAAAAAAAGAATTTTGAAGAATAAATTGTTTTGGCAATTTACAAAGACTTGAAACTGATGCTGTTACTGCAGTGTGTGTCTCTACAGTCCTCTCCCTGGGACTCAGAGAGTCTGAGAATGATCGGGCTGGAAGTGGCCTTCCGGATCACCCCGGACTGCACTGAGGGAGAGTACGACTGGATTTGTAAATTCTCCCAATGAGACAGTCTCAGATTCCCTAATATGGGTGGTGGGTCCAAGGCAGAAGCGGTTAGGGGTGATCAGGCCAACGGGTGTGTGTGTGTGTGTGTGTGTGTGTGTGTGTGTGTGTGTGTGTGTATAGAGACAAGTTGGGGGCGAGCAGGTCAGCAGTGTCCGGAAGGACGTTAATGAATGTAAAATCGACCATACATTACTATTCTTTTCCTAATAACATATTAAAGCATCCTGCAAGTTTTATGGCTGACGTAACAGTTCACAGGGTTAATCGAGGTAAGCGAATGTTTACATTTTGTTTTCAATTAGACCGTGGATATCTAACTTTGGAAGATTTTCAGAAAGCATTCAAGCAGGTGGCTCCCAAGTTACCAGAAAGGATAACGCTCGAGGTTTTCAGGTAAGGCCCCCAATCCCTCACGTGCACCGCCCCTTGGTTTACCATTTCCTTTCACACGTTTTCAGTTTGGTGGAGAACACCTTTTTATGCTGATTTCTTCGCGAATGATCCCACAGTGCATGATCATGACCCGGAGAGCAGTTATTTACAGTTAGCTCTTCATGCACTGATGCCCTCGATGCTGGGTGCCTGCCCACCTGGGAGGGGCGTGAGAATGGTAGGGGTGGGAAAGGGACAGGAAGAGAGGGGAACTTGCTTGTGTATTTATGTGTCGACCGGAAACAAGGAAGCTTTGGTGTGTAACATGGATGCTGGTGCTCTCCCGTGGTCAGTGTTTCATCAGACATGGGCGACGCATACTCCAGAGAGAGGAGTTGCTATTGTTTAAGGGATGCCTGCCACACACACCCCCCGCCCCCCCCTCCCCCCCCCCCCCCGCTCGTCGCAGTGCATGCATACAGGATAAAGTAGATTTGAAGAGTATATTATGTTACCTTTATGAACCAATGTGGACACAGTGGGCACGTAGCTTGAAAGCAGCCTCTGTTAGGAAGCCACCGAAGGAAGGTACCGCGCTAACATGAGAAAATGGCAGAGCTGCCTCTTCTGTGACTGCCAGCATGAGCTCATCATCACCTGTGGCCAGGGGTGTGCGTCAGGGCTCGGAACGGCAGCAGGAGTCAGAGACCCGGAATAGCACAGCCCAGGAGAGGTGGCGGGCAGTGGACGGCTCTCACATAATCGCGGGCAGTCAGGGCCGATCCGATGGCAACATAGCCACGAACGACCCAGGCGCCTCCACACCTGGCTTCGCCCTCCTGCTTCGAGGGTTGCTTCCATTTTAGCCATCCAATGTAAACTCAAGCCAGAGACTGGGAGAGGGAACACAAGATAGGCCCCTCCTTCTAAAGTGATCGTCCCCGTGACCAGGACTCAGTTCCAAGGCCATGTCCACAATGCCATCTTTGCTCTGAGCCATCACGTGCCCTCTGAGTTTCTGATCGTGAAGGAGAGAATGGCTGCTGGGGGACATCTGGCAGGTGTTCCCATTTGGGATAAAAATAATTTAATGAGATCTGACCAGCCGTCAGCCCTGCCCATTAGAAATGATCAAGTAGGCTCTTTGAAATAAGGATTTGCACTCACTGTTATTGATAGTGACATATGTGAAATGGTTTTGCTGTGTCATTCACAAGCAAGTCGTTGAGCAGACTACCAAAGGAGAGCGGTTAACGGCACACGCAGACAGTGCCATAGAACGGTTTTGTTTAGCTGATTCTGGACCCGCGGGCCCCTTAAACTGTAACGGAATCTTCTCGCACACTTTGCGATGAGAGGAATAATGGACGTCCATCTATTTCTACCACACAAGGGTTGTTTTAACAAAAGAACAAAGAATTGTTACTTTATTTTCCTTTCACGAAAAGGCAGGCGTCCCCATTTGCTGACCTTTCTGTGTTAAGTTGTTTCAGGAGGAGCTCATAGAAAATTTTAAACAATGCACTTAAATATAGCCCTTCACGGTATAAGCAATGTTTTAACAGGGAGTGAGCGAGTACCTGCTTCTCAAAAGAGACCTGCGCTACCTGAAGAGCATTTTTGGAATTGGGTATTTGGAAATGTGATTTAAAAAAAAAAGAAAAGGAAAAAAGATGGCCTGGCTGGCATGGCTCAGTGGTTGAGCATTGACCTATGAACCAGCAGGTCACAAGTTTGATTCCCAAGTATGTCCGAGATGTGGGCTCGATCCGCTGTAGGAGGCATGCAGGAGGCAGCCGATCAACGACTCTCTTCATTGATGTTTCTATCTCTCTATCCCTCTCTGTTCCTCTCTGAAATAAATAAAAGTACATATTAAAAAAAGATCCATGTCACCTATTAAATCCCTTCGTTTGGGACTCTGAGCTCATTTAATAAGTTGAAACTGGAATGTCCTAATCTGGTGTGGGGGGGAAATCTTACAATGTTTTATTGGTTTTAGGATGCAGTTTTTAAAAATGTAAACATTTGATAGCTTTCATAAGCTTTTAAGAGAGACTGATATTGGGGAAGATGGACATTTGTTGGCTGAACGTCAGTGAACAGTAACAGCAAAATAATAATAATAATCCTATATAATAAAAGAGTAATATGTAAATTAGCCATCACTCCGAGACAAAAATGGGGCACCCATAGCAGATGCTGGCAGCATCACCCAGGCAACAGGAGCCCAGTATCTGCTCCTTGGCCACGGAGGGAGGGGAGAGGTCTCTGGGGCACGAGCTCAGTGTCCCAGCCACAACTGTGCTGCTGTGAGCCCAGTGTTGTGCCATGGCCATGCAGTGGGGGAGAAGGAGCCTCTGGAGTCCCGAGCCCAGAGTCCCAGTGCCCAGAATCCATGCCCTGGCCTGCCTTGCGGCGGGAGGGAAGAGGCTTTTGGGGCCCCAAGCTCAGCATCCCTGTGGCAGGGGAGGAACTAGAAAAATGGATCTTTCCAGTTCCTGAAACTGACAGAGCCCTCTGGGTGCCAGGGTCCTCCACCTGCAGCCCCCAGTTGCAGCCCAGCAGCCCCAGTCACAGACTGGAAGCCCCCTGCCAGCAGTTTAGACAGGACCACAGGGGAGGGGGGTGTCTGGCAGGCACACTACAGACATCAAATCACTGCTGCTGAGGCTACCCCCCCCTCCCCCAACACACACATACTCACAAGCGGAATGGTCCAAGGGGGCAACTCCTGAGGCAAGGCTCCTGTGGCAGCTGATGCATAGCCAGGCAAGGAAGCCGGACCTGAAAGCCCAAACACTTGAGTACCCGAGCTGCAGGGCGTCATGGCCGGGGCCCTGAGCCATGCCAGCCAGGCAATACATTTATTTTTGTCCTGGCTGGGGCCCAGGACAAGCATCTTCCCAGAGGCTGTGTGGAAGGAGGGGAGGAGCCTCTGGCTAGAGGCCAGGTGAGGGATGCTGGTGTCTTTGCAGATCAAGACCAGGCTGAGGGACACTCCCCCACCCTCACCCCTGTGCACAAATTTCGTGCACTGGGCTTCTAGTAATAATAGTAATAATAATAATAATAATAATAAACTTTAAACCTTTCCTTTGAGGTTGGACTCAAAACCGAGGGCTCAGTGCCATGGTGCCCTTTTCCATTCATATCTGCATATCTTTATGACATGACTCTGACAGCCATTCAAACCAACGATTAAAACAAATTGCTCAACCACAAAGGATTAAACTGAGACGCTCAGAAATAATAACGGATATTAAATCATGTTCTTGATAAATATCCTGAGTCATTTCTGTGGATAGCAGAATGTTGTTTGCCATTAAAGAAAATATTGCATCTTTAATTCTTTAGAATTTCTATATTATGTTTTATAACGTGCACCTAAAAATAAATGTATTGCCTGGCTGGCATGGCTCAGTGGTTAAGCATCGACCTATGAACCAAGAGGTCATGGTTAGATTCCTGATCAGGGCACATGCCCGGGTTGCCGAGCTTGATTCCCATTGTGGGGCATGCAGGAGGTAGCTGATCAGTGATTTTCATCACTGATGTTTCTCTCTCTCCCTTTCTCTATAAGTGTATTCATAGGTCTATACATCTTATCTTTCCCAGGATTATGTGATCAACACAATTTGGGGACCATGCAATATACAACCTAGCAAGGCATTTTAGTTCATTGAACGTGCCCTGTTTAAACTCTCCATTGTATTATTTTTTTTTTATAGCACTATAACCCCTAAGCCAGAATAAGTGATGCATAATACGTATTAAAGGAAGTTATGAAACCAAGGAAGGATAGAAAAATATGTCCTCCAAGTGTAAATTGAAGTAGCCAAGGAAACGGATGCCTAACTTGCACACACACATCTGTTTCGGTGGTGCAAACAGGTTTCAAGGACAAGGAAGAGAAAACCAGGGATGCCAAATCCCGCAACGGTTCTAAGGCTAGACACCTGCTCTTGGAGAAGTGTGAGTGGCATTTGACTTCATTGATGAGCACAAACGGGATTCATTGCTCAGGTCCGTGGTTACTCAGAAGCACGCCAGTGCCTGAGGATCACTAAAGGAAGGCAGCTGGTGGTGTGGGGGTGTGGAGGCCTCTCCTTAGAGCAGAATGGTCTGTGCAGTAACGACTGAGGGAGTTTCCATCACCTTCCATTCGTGGGCTGCCGGGTTCTCACCAAAGAAACTTCTGAAGATCAAGAGCCGCCTCTTTCAGAAATACTTGCCCACGTTGCACTCCCCTCTCACAAGCTAAACCAACAAAGCACAACAGTAAAACCAACCAGACAACTCAAAAAAGACAGACTTGGGGCATAAGGCATCAGAGAAGCATTTCACTTTATAGTTCGATAGAAACACTGGTGGATCATTGATTAAGTCCGAGGGCGTTCCAGGGACCAAATGAGAGACTTTGAACCAGTTTGTGAGTTGCTGCCTGACTGCTTTGGTTACGTCTACTTTAGTGATTTTTTTTATTTTATTTTTTTATGAATGCAAGCAATGTCTTTTTAAATATCTATGGTCAGGGTCTGTGACAGTCACATTCTGCCCTGCAGTCATAACCTCTTTTGGTTTAATGTGACTTCTGTAGTTAAATGGATTCAGAGCTCACCTCCAGGCCTTGTGATGTGGCTTCTTTGTAGCTGAAGTTGATCATAAAAACTACATTTCCGCCGAAACCGATTTGGCTCAGTGGATAGAGCATCGGCCTGTGGACTGAAAGGTCCCAGGTTCAATTCCGGCCAAGGGCATATACCTTGGTTGCGGGCACATCTCCAGAGGGGGGTGTGCAAAAGGCAGCTGATTGATGATTGATGATTCTCTCTCATCAATGTTTCTACCTTTCTATCTCTCTTCCTCTCTGTAAAAAGTCAATAAAATATATATTTAAAAAAAACAAAAAAAAAACCAACTACATTTCCCTGGTGCCTTTCACGTTCAAAAATGTTTATCTGGGCCGTTGTCCTTGAGTAAAGGTATATAATGAATTGAGCATTAACACTTCATGTCAG